AGTAAGACCTTTGTGTTAAATATCAGGTCCTGAGAATATTTTTCAATTATTCAATAGGAGACAAAAACTATGTGTGATTTTACTATTATCAGTAAAATCGAAAGAGTAAAAGTCATCCAAACAAGTACATTGTTCAGAATGTATCAGACTGGGTTGTGGAGATTACTAAGTGGGTAGAGTTCTTGTTTTGGTGCACAAGTATGAGGTTCCAAGTCCGGATCTCATCGCCTATAGAAAGGCTGGCATGGGTGTACCCATGTCCCCAGTGCTGGAGATGTGGAGACAAGCAAGCCACTGAGGCTTGCTGGTCAGCAGTAATAGCCAAAGCGAGGCGCTACAGATTGACTGAGAGACCCTGTCTCAAATAAGTGAGGCAGAGAAGTGTGAACCTCTGACTTCTGCATACTCACGCATGGGTGCACGCACTCGTGCACACACACGCACACATACATTCTCTTACCCACCTCCCCCACCCCCAAATAATGTGTCAGCTTGACAGGTTGATGTGGCTATTAAAATAATCACAAACTCTGGTGTGTATATAGAATTAAAACTGTAGAAAATATATGTAGATCTCTGTAAAGATTTGAGCATTTGTCACTTTAGAGTTGAAAGATTATGAAAGATAAAAAGATTATTTTATCAAAAACACTTAAAATATTTTTCTAACTATAAGTTTAGAATGAGTCTAATCTCTTAAAATCAATACATTGCATCTTAAAGGTTTTCTTTGAGAAGAACATAATAGGAAATGCCATGATATTGGTGGAATAAAAGTAGTTTCACCAAAAATATAGACATGATCTAATAATGATAGATGGATCATTTATTATCATGGTTGTTGACTTTTTTATGTAGAATCTGACTATGTAGCCTGACGTGGGATTACACTCTGTGTGCTGTGAATATGTTTTATGACCGTTAGTTATTAAAGAAGCTGTTTCAGCCAATGGCTTAGTAGAGTAAAGCCAGGTGGGACATCTGAACAGAGATAGGGAGAGTAGGTGTAGTCAGAGAGATGCCATGTAGCTGCTGAAGGAATAACATATGGTTACAGCAAGCCACAGTCTAGTGGAAATACACAGATTAATAGAAATGGGTTAATTTAAGATATAAGAGCTAGCTAGGAATTTGCTAGAGTCATTGGCCAAACAGTGTTGTAATTAATATAGTTTCTGTGTTATTTTTCTGGTCTGGGTGGCTGGGAAACAAATAAGTAGTCTCTGCCTACAGTAGCCCAGGCTAGCTTTAAGCTCATTATGTAGCATAGGATGTCTTCAACCTTGGGATGATCTTCCTGCCTGACCCTCCCAAGTGTTAGGATTACAGGTATGTGCCACTATCTCCAGACTGAAAAGGTACTTTTGAAATGAGTTTCTTTTTTCCATTTTAAAAAATAAAAGCTTTTAAAACAAGAAAGAAAAAAAATAGACAAATGTAAGTTGCAAATGGACATCTCTAGTAAATATTTTAAATTGAAATTTGACATTTCTTTTGCTTTTGTAACTTGGCCTGCTTTTCTGTTTGTTTGTTTTTGCTTAGATTCTTTTATATGTGTTAAACACTTTGGGTCATGTTTTTTAATCTGGTAAATATTAAGAAAAGAGTCATAAGCTCTGTATCATCACCAAAGTGCTGTGACACCAGCTCTTAGGACTTTGATGCTCATCTGTTTTGTGTCACCATGACTACCTGAGCCTGAGTGATGTTTATCTGGATTGCTGTTCTGGTGACTGGATTGGTTAAGCAGCATGGCCACAGCATTCCTTCCTGTTTTTGTCTCCTCCCAGCTGCACTGCAGCATAGTGGAGAAGCAGAAAGTTTTAAATGCTGAAAGGGCGTGCATGCGACCAAGGGGCCAAGGGGCAGTGAGGAGCCAGGCTTACTCACTTTATAATTGAGGCTTACGGGAATTAATTCACACCCCCAGACTTGTCCACTCCATGAAATCATGAGGCTGTCCCGACGTCAGTCATGACCTGGTCATCCCCATGTGGCTCCCTCTGCATTACCACACTGGGACCCAAGTCTTCAGCAAATGAAGCCCATGAAGCAGCAGACCATATCCAAACAGCAGCTGCCTCAGAGAGGCTGAGAATGGTGGTGGGTGAGAGGTGCAGAGCAGAATTTGCTACAAGAGGTTTTAGTTTTGGTTTGGTTTTTAGTTTCTGGCTGGCCTAGAACTTGTGTAGACCAAACTGCCCTTGAACTCACAGAGATCCACATCACCTCAGTTTTCCAAGTGCTGGGATTAAAGGTGTGTGCCACCATGTGCAATCCATGAACTTTACAGGTGAATGTCAAGCCTGATGTCTACCTTTAATGGTGTTTTAAAGTGCACACTACAGTGTTATTAACTATGACTACATTATTATCTATGTCTCTACACATAGTCTATGATATATACACTTTTTTGTTACACTATCATTGTAATGAGTTTTAAAATAAATGCATATAAAAGCTCCAGCTTTGATCTTTTTTCTGTAGATTGCTTTCGTTATTTGTTGGTCCTTTGAGGTTCCGCATAGATGTTTATCTAGTCTCCTTAGACATGACCTTTAAATAGTATTCATTTTCCAAGCTCCAAAATAGTAGACATCTTTTCATTTAGGTGTGTTGCCTTTATCTCCCCAGTGTTTGTAAGCTTTTCCTCTCCTTGGATGTTTGTGTTGACTTTACTCCTTTTGATGTATTGTAAATGGGATTTTCTTCTTGTTTAGAATTTCCTTCCAATGACATATCTCAGTGTGTAGAATTATTTTAGCCAGTTCCAGGGTGGCATAGCAAAATGCCATGATGCTTATAATAGAAGGTTGTTTCTCACAGTTTTGGAAGCTAGGAAGTCCAAGCTCCCAGCACCCACAGACTAGGTCTCTGGTCAGGGCTTGCTGTGTGCTTCCCAAGTGGCAGCTTTTTGCTCCATCCTTGGAGGGAAGACTGGTGGTTGTTGCATCACATAGGAGAGGGAGAAGCAGGGGAAGGATTAGACCACTCCCTCCCTTCCTTTTTCAGAGCAGTCCGAGTGAGTGGAATACTTAGAACTCAGTCATTTCTGACAGGTCTTACCTTTTAAAAATATACCAAGTATTATATTTCAGCATATGAATTTTGGAAGGACACAGGCATAGGAATAGTTTTGTTTAATATTTTTAAATTATCATAGTTGATGAAGATCTACATAAAGTTATAGTATTATTTTCATGCACTATTTTAATTTTGAGGACAGCAGTAAGATTTCATGTGCCTCAAATCATAATTGGTATTTGTAAAATTGCTTTGTTAAGAGTTTTGCATTAGCAGCCACACAGGTGGCTCAGAGGCTAAGAACTCCGACTGCTGTTCCCAAGGTCCCGGGTTTGAGAACAGCTCGCTGCTCTATGTAAATAATGGGGAAAAAAAGAGTTTTGCATTATCTGAATTGCTACTGTCATCTCCCTGGCCATATGGTAATACCTTGAAATTAACAGTCTTTGTTTTTTTTTTGTTGTTGTTTCTTTGTTTGTTTAGGATACATCAGAGAAGGATTTCTTGTTGTGCAACATTCTTTAGATAAGGCCATCATGGTGTATCATAGTGGCAGAGCGGCTGAAGACATGTTTGCTAACACCACCATTCATGCGAACCGATTCCCATACCCTGCTTTCACCCAGGACAAATTCTTGTGGTCTTTCATATCCATGTTTCCGTGGACAATTTTATTTACATTTACTCAAATGGCACTTGTCATTGTTGGGACCATTATGATGGAAAAGGAAAAGCGATTAAAGGTAATTTCATTTTATTTGTAGTACTGTGGGGCAGTAGAACAGGTATGTGCAGGGGGGTTTTATGCACGCTTTTCTCTGCTAATGAATATCCCATGGAAACAGCATGCAGATATGGGCTGGCTAGAGTGTGCATGATGCCATCAATGAGTTTTCTGTGTTTTTGATTTTTAGAAATAAATTGATTTGTCTAAATGACAGAGAACATTATATAAAGAAGTCAAATATTAATGCCCCCAAATTATCTATGGAATGAGATGAGCAACAAAGAAATAATCAGACAAGGTCTTGAATTAGATAACTTAAAATATACTTTAACTGCTCATCCTGTGGTCTTCTTTGAGATGGTTTTCAGTGTGAAGTAAATCAAGCCAGTGTTATCAACAATTGTGGCTACAAAGTCAGAAAGCTGTTAAAGCACTTATCTGTCCATTAATTTGTTTAATGCTTCCTTACTAATTACCTCCTTTGTTCCAAGGACTTGGCGGCTTTGTTTAAAACCCTGGCTTTAACAGTAACTCACTCTGTGATCATCCTCTGTTTCTCTAGATGTAAACTAAAGACTGTAATATCTGCTTTTGTAGTTAGTGCGGTAGTTAAATGAGATATTATTTTTAAAGTGTCTAGAACAGTCTATAATCATCCTACAACTGGTAGTTTAGAAAAGAGAAGGCAGACTCTTTGCTTACACATTGTTCAAAGTCTCGTAATGATGTAAGTTAGTATGTGAAATGTCAGTCATCCAAGTAGGTGTTTACCAGCTGGACATTAGAGAGAGGGTTAGTGTCTAGAATATGTTAAAAAAATGAAAAAACTAAACATCAAGAAAACTGCCCGATTTTTTTTTTTAAAAAAAGCAAAGCATGGAACTAAGCAAAATTTCCAAAAGATGAAATATAAATGACTAAAACACATTTTTTTAAAAGTTCAATATTCTTAACTATCCAGTGAAATTCAGTTAGAACTACTTTTGAAAATTCATCTTATCCCTGTTAGAATGGCTAAGATAGAAAAAAAAACACAAAAAAACTAATGAAAGCAAATTTTGCCATGTTTATAGGGAAAGGAGAACACTTAATCATTGCTGGGGGGAATGCACACTGGTGCCTCCGCTATGGAAATCAGCATGGAGGTTCCTCAGAATTTGGATCTGCCACAAGATCTCACTCTACCACACAAAGGGCTCTATGTCCAACTACAGAGATACTTGCTTTTCCATGTTCATTGCTGCAATAGCCAGGGGAAAAAGTTATTCTTGAAGTACAGAGATGGTTTTGCTCATTTTGAGCAGTGGAGAATAAAGCGGTTCAGTAGGTAGACACCACCAGAGGGAGGGTTTGAAACTGGCCTGGAAAGAGCAGCTGTGGAGAGAGGTGTGGAGGCCTGGCTGACGTGAAGGGAAAGCCAAAGATGGTGAGTATTGTAGTTTGTATGCATCACCACTGTACATTCTTTTCTGCTTCTTTTTACTCACTTAAAAATGCAAAAAGCGTTCTTAGGTCTCGGGATGGACAGAAATGACACATGAGATTGATTGGTTCATGGGTCATTATCTACTGACAAAGCTTGGCTATTACGGCAAGGCAAGATTAAAGGTAAGAAGATAATTTGAAGGTGATTCTGACCCGGGGAAAGGCAGGGGGAGACTGCCCTGAGTTGGGTCAGTGAATGTACAGCCAGAGATTAATGTGTGGAGCTAATCAGGAAGTAGAATTCAGTGGGCGTGCACACGTACATGATTGACTGCAGATTTTTGAAATTTATCTTTCAAGGATTTTTCCATGCATCAGGTTGTTGTTGAGACACTTGGAGCTGTCAAATGATGTCCAGCTGAGTAAGTCTGTTGCTTCCCAAATGAGCAGTGATACTTGGGTTTAATAGAGACAGATTTCGTGAGGGCATTCACCATCCTCTTCTTCCTTGGCTAAGGGAGTGAATCACGAGGCCCAGTCTTCCATGCTGGAAACCTCAGCTCTATGAGTGTAGCACAGTGCATCCCGTCAATCTTCACCATTCCTGCCGCTGTAGCGTGAAGTCTCACTCCTCTGTGAGATTGTCTCTGAAATGGAGACAATCATGACCATGACCACGTCAGTGCACACTGAGCAAGCCAGTCTTTTTCCCTTGGGTGTTACATGTAGGAATGAATGTAAACCCTGTTTCTTCCCGTCCCCTCATGGCTCCTCTGCCTCTTCCATTTCTGGCAATACTGTCTTCTAGCTGTTCAAGCTTTTGCTAGTGTTTCACCAACTCTCTTCAGTTTTGCCAACTGCCGTCTGTCCCGCATGTTACTTCATGTCCATCCCTTGCCCCTCAGTGAGAACGGCTCACTTTGAATGGCCTTTAACTTTTTCTCTCACTGTAAAGCCTTTCTCCTTCTTTCCTAGCTGGGGAATAATCTTTTTCAAATGTATTTTTAACTATCAGTCAAAATAGCCAGTTTATTTTTCCTGTCACAGAAACTTAAACTATCCAGTTTAAATTAGTTAAGTTACTATTAGTTTTGTTTTATTTAATTAAAAATATTTTCATTGCTAGGTATGGGTGGTACACAGCTTTAATCTCAGCACTTGAGATACAGAGATAGGTGGATCACTGTGAATTCAAGGCCACCCTGGTCTACATAGGGAGACCATGTCTTAAACAAAATAAAATTAAAAAATATTCTTTGAGAATTTCATGTATCATACTTTGGTTATAATTATACCTCCCTATCTTCCAGATCCACAGCCTCTTTTATACCCACCCAACTTTATGTCTTCATTAAAACAAAGCAAAAGAAAAATAATGAACAAAACCCAGTTTGTGCTCCTGTCCCTTTCAAATCATTGTGCTGTCTCTATCCCAAAGGCTAGTGATATTTTAAAGTGTGGAAGCCCATGCTAGTGTTAGCTCACTTTTGGAACATAAATAGAATTGTGCAATAGTGACTCTCTTGCATCCGATAGTTATCCATATTCTGTTCAGTTGTAATCTATACAAGTTGTTTCAACAGATGGAATGTGGCAACAGCAACTAACCCTTGTGACTGTAATTACTGGATAATAATTATGTTATATTGAATAATAATTATGTTATACCGGATGATAATTATGTCACACTGGATAATTGCACTTTGAAACTTCCTCCTTCACTTTATTTGACGCTGCTGCTGTTAGTGTGCCTATATGCAATTTACTCCTTATTCATTGTATTTTATTAGACTTGTAAACATAATGTCTTTATTTCATGGTTTCCAGTTCACCCATTTTCTCATGAGCAGTCCTATTTCTCCTTTGCCATATAAGACCACTGCAACTTAACACATGACCCACGTTTTTCATCTTGTGCTGTCCCTGTCTTGGTTTCAGCCAAGGTTGTTCTCCTGTCTGAGGCTCCAGAGGGGGTGAGATTCACTTCTTAGCTCTATGGCCGTGAACAGAATTCAGCTCCTTCTCAGAATCACAGGACTTGATGTTGGCCAAAGCAACTGAAAAACTCAAGTGCAGCAGCCTCCTTTATGGGGTCCAGTGTAATTCCAGGCATGAGAGTTCACTCTTGGCACATCCCACTGACTGAAACAAGTTGTGTAACCCACTTACACCAAAGAGAAGTAACCAGAAAAGAACCTGAACACCAGAAGACACAAGCGACACAGTCACCCTGGAGGCTGTGTGTGAAACATGGTAATTTTTAATTGAATTCCAGACATTGTGGTGTTTACTTTATTGGGAACTTGATAATCTTGCATTCCTGGATTTTTGTTTTATTTTGAGGCACACTTAGGTGTCCTGGAAACAGTTTATCCTTTGAGACCTTCTCTCACACTTAGGTGTCCTGGAAACAGTTTATCCTTGAGACCTTCTCTCGCTCTTATTTTCAGTGCTAAGGATGGAACTCAGGGCCTTGCATATCACAGGGTAATACTCTTCCATTGAATTATAGTCCCAAATTTTGATTTTTTTTTTTAAAGACAGGCTTTCAAATATAGCTCAGGTTAACCTTACACATTCTCTACAGCCCAGGATGGCCACTAAATCACAATCCTCCTGATTCTGTCCCCTAACTTCTGGGATCATAAGCATATGCCATCACACTCAGCTATTACTATATAGTCTTTTGATAGGTAGAACGGCAGTAGGATTTATTCTAAAGCTTTGGTTCTCAGTTTGTGGCAGTTTTGCTTCATTGGTCACTTGGCAATGTCTGGAGGGAATTTTCACAATTAAGATAGATATTACTTCCAGCAGGGTTGGAAGAAATCATGGATACTGTCGAATATCCTACAGTGCCCAACATATTGTCCTGTAATGAGAAACTGAAGTGTCAGCATCAAAGTCGAGAAACCTTGATATGCATTGTCGCGCCCACCTCGACCAGCAAGGAAGACGCAACACCAGAGCTCTTCTTGCAAGCAGTTTATTCAGGACCTTGTTCACAGCAATCTTTCTCCTTCTTCTCCTTCTCCTTCTCCTTCTCCTTCTCCTTCTCCTTCTCCTTCTCCTTCTCCTTCTCCTTCTCCTTCTCTTTCTCTTTCTCCTTCTCCTTCTCCTTCTCCTTCTCCTTCTCCTTCTCCTTCTCCTTCTCCTTCTCTTTCTCTTTCTCTCTTTCTCCGGGCAAACCTCTCCCAGCCTTTAAAACGGCATGGACTGCCAACCCCGGATTGCCACGTGGGCACTGCCCATAGGTCCACGCATATGCAAGCAGCTGACGATCATTGCATGATAATAGCACGAGTCAGGCCTTAGCCATATTAGGAGTTGATTATCACAGAGCACTCGCTTTCGGGATCGCGGAGGGCGGAAGCCAGCATCAGGTGCGGCTCCACGCAGCTCTCTACAATGCATAAAGACACAGGACGATGTTCGACACAAATTTTCTCAGGAGTATTTAGGTTGAGAATCCAGGTCTAGGCCTACTACATTGGGCACACTACTAACATAAACTCCATGTTAGTGCCTTCTCTTGACTGTGGTTATTGTAGTTATGATTTAGCCTGGCTAGGGAACTGGACCTCCTCCCCTCTACCCCCCTCAACCTTGCCTGTGTTGCTGCTGGTCTGGCCTGGGGTATATTGTCATGAGTTGTAAGATGGAGGTGCTGGGAGCACCATCTAAAGGTGTCTGGAGCACTTACCCTGCTAACCTCTGCCTTCCCTGAAACTCCAGCTGCTTTGCCCTCTCTGGGCTTACTCTGTTTCTCACCACAGGCAGCTGCTGGGCTCTGCTTCAGTGCCCACTCCAGTCAGCGAGACAGTTCCTCGCAATTAGCTGAGCACTGGGTAGACTCCTCTCCCAAGTTCACCTTGCTCTTTCCTTCTTGTCCTTGCATAAAGAGTGCAAGCATGGTTTTCACTGCACATGTGGACTAAATCCAGAGCCGTGGTCATTTGTAGGCAGTGATGAGCGCAGGCTAGTGGCTAAAACACTGCCAGAACCCACCCTGGCTCCTCTAAACTGCTGTGTGCTTACTTTTCTCATCAACATGACAGAAACAAGGACAGGGTGGTTTATTTTGGTTCCTAGTTTCACAGCTGTCATTTCATCATGTGGAATGAGAGGGAACTGTGGTGCTGTGGTGAAACAAAGCAGCTCACATCACAGGAGAGAAAGGGAGTTGGGGGAGGAGAAAGCTCCTACCTGCCATCCTTTTCCAATAATGTTGTTGTATTATGAATCAAATGAGAAACCCATCCATAATGACCACATTGTCTCTAGAGACAACCCACATACCTACCTAGAGTGCACTCCGCTAGTCTACTTCTCAGTCCAACTTGTTTGACAGTTCAGATTGGTCCTTATACCTAGGCGGGAAACTGCTTTCTCATGCACCCTCACCAGCGTGCACCGCAACAGTCTGTAAGTGTTTCTTATATGGGGGCGTCCACCCGCTGTTCAGAGCATTCTCTCATGGGAGACTCCCACTCCAACCGTAAGTTCAGCAAAACTAAACACAATTGTAGGACAGTTTTGTTTCTTTTGAATCCTGGTCTCTCATGTCCTAAAAGTCAACTTCTCATTTTTGTGCTTCCCAAATAAATAGCCTCCTTTATAATTATCATGAATAATGTCTTTAAAGATGTTTCTAGATACTTTTTCTAGCATTGTATTTTTGTTATATTACACTTTCATCTTTCAGGATTTTAGACCATGGGAATTTTAGACTTTATAGATTTTGAGCATTTTTTTCAAATCTCAAACATAAAGAGGTCATAGAGAGTCACCCAGAGGATCTGATATTATAAATTCCATACTATGATTAAATGTATTCCTAATGCCACCTCTCTATGCAGCGTTCTGTTCCCAATGCTGCTTGACAGTTAATGCTATCCCTCGAAAGGATCCGAATCACCTAGCAAGGGACCTCTGGGTGGTCCTGTGAAGGGCTATCTGGATTAGGCCAGCAGAGATGGAAAGACCTGCCCACCATGGGCAGCACTGCTCCATGGGCTGGGGTCTTGCTGGACTTGCAGAAAAAGAAGGGACCGGCTGGCTGAGCAGTCGTCACACCCAGACATTCACTATGTCAGTGTCCCATAATGCTGCCTGCCATCCATGGCCAGCAGAAGTTGGTGACTCTCTACCGGTGCAGGGTGGGACCGCCCCCCCTTTTTTTATGAACCATTCTTTCATCAAATAAACTGCCAAACTGAATTGTCTTAAGTTTTTCCTTTGTCACTGGCCTAGGGAAAAGACACACAGAGGCAGCTGGAGGAGGCAGGAACAGGGAGTCCTCCAGAATGAGTCGTAACGCTGTTGCCTCTCAGTCTAGCTTCTGATCCGAAACTGGCTTTATTTTTTCCTACATGTTTGTACACACGAGCATGCCTCTTTCCAGCAAAAGCCAGACAGGGTGTAAGATCCCTGGAATTGGAGTTACAGATGGTTCCAGCATTATGAGGGTGCCAGAACTGAGGGTCTCTGGGTCCTCTGCAAGAGCAATGTGCTGGTTGTCTCTCTCTCTCTCTCTCTCTCTCTCTCTCTCTCTCTCTCTCTCTCTGTGTGTGTGTGTGTGTGTGTGTGTGTGTGTGTGTGTGTATTGCTTGACACAAGCTAAAATTGTTTGGGAAGAGGGACTCCCATCTGAGAGTCCATAAGATTGGCCTATAGAGACAGAGTTTCTCTGTGTAGTCCTGGCTGTCCTGAAACTCACTCTGTAGACCAGGCTAGCCTCAAACTCAAGAGATCTGCCAGCCTATGCCACCCCAGTGTTGGGATCAAAGGTGTGCACTTGGTTTTTAATTTTTAATTTTTAAAGGTGTTTTTTTTATCTCAGAACTCGCTAAGTCTTAGGAGAAAACAACAAATTCTGCACCCAGAATTCTGGGTAGAAATTACACCTCTCATTAGGTACAAAGTTTTAGGTAGGTCATTTGGCTATTGTGAGGCCTGATTTTCTTTGTAAACGGGGATGTGAGATTCAAGCCATGGAGGTAATTGATGTGTGGAGGCATTTTGAAATGTGTTTTTCATGACACTTGGCTTATGTTGCTTCTCCTTCAGGAATACCAGCTCATGGTAGGACTCAGTAATGCTATGCTCTGGTTCTCGTATTTTGTCACCTTCTTGTTGATGTATTTGATTATCATCTGTTTGCTGTGTGGAATTTTATTTCTCAAGGCAAGTATCCACGTGTACGTAGCACACCACCGCTTTCAGAGGGAGGAGAAGTGGAGGTGTGGGCAAAGTGTATTAGTTTGCTGAAGAAGAGTAAATGCGTTTTGCCCTGACTCCACTGTGGACGTTCAAAAGGTCTAGTCGATCAGAAGGTGAAAAAGAGACTAGGTGACTGTCCCTTCTGTAGGCAATGCCTTCAAAATCTCTGAGTGGCATGACTTACTTCACTGGGGCCAGCCCTTAGTATTTTCCTTTACTTTCGCGCCTTTTTTCCCTCATCACTTCACTTGGGATTAAACCAGCTTTCTAATTATGTCATCAGATTACACACGAGAGAGTCTTTCAACACAGCGACCCGCTGTTCATTGCCTTCTATTTCCTGTGTTTTGCCATCTCCTCAATGTTACTTGGCTTCATGATCAGCACACTCTTTGACAGAGGTGAGTTGGAGGCGCCTTCCATGAGACATCCTGAGAGTTGACTGAGAGGGACCCTCAGTTTCAGATGCCACTGGATCAGTTTAAGGAACACATCTTCTCATACTATTCATTTAAGTCAGAGTCTCTATGGGGCCCCTTCTGTGCGCTAGGCACAGTGCAAGATGCAGGTGATGTGGGGGTGGCTGAAAGAGCCCCCCCTCTTTGTTTCTCGCTGCTGCAGCTTGTGTCGACTAACCATCTTTTCCTTCTCCCTTTCCAGCGTCTGTGGCCTCTTCCGTTGCAGGTTTCCTCCACTTTCTCACATTTTTTCCTTACTTAATCATAGCTCAGACATATGGTCAGACAAGCCTCGCGGGGAAGCTGGCTCTCAGCCTCATCACAAACACAGCGCTAGCTTTCGGGGCTGACTTGATATGCAAGATGGAAATGAAGGGTAAGTCTCCCCTGGTGGTAGCACCTTCATTAATTTACAACCGGGAAGGAAAGGACCGGACATACAGGGGTGGGGGAGAGCATGGTTCAAGTGTGTTCGAGTGGTCTCTCATACAGGCTTTATCATAAAGCATTGTGTTGTGTGTATTATGTATGTACTTACTGTGGACATAAATATACATGTACAGGAGAACTAAAAATTACATAAGCAATATTACAAGTAATAAAGTAGGTATTTATGTTTGTGTGCATATGCCTATCTATGTCTCTTCTAGGGGATAATTTTGTCACCCCAGACAACAGGAGCTTGTCACACTGAAAGGTGTCAGTGTTTCACCACTGATATGATTTTAGCTTTTTCATAGATGAATTTGTCCCACTGAGAAAAATCCAGACAGGGTTGTGGTCTATCAAAGAATATGCTTAAGTGTTTAGCTTTATTTAGAATGATGGTAAATGGCATTGTGTTTTCATTCTTTGTTATTGTTAGTACAATGGGCTTTGTGTTTTAATCTTGCATCCTATAACTGGAGAAGTTTCTATGATTCTTTTTGTGATGTCTTTGTTTAATTTTGGTATATTGTCATAATGCTGACCTTATATATTGACATAGGAATTATTTCATTCTTCATCTGTTTTCTCTTTGGAAGAGTCTGAGAAAAACTGGTGTTAATTGTCCTTTAAATATTTGGTAAGGTACATAGTGAAAACATACATGCTTAGATGTTTCTTTGCTGAACTTTTATTGTTCTTGCTCTTTACAGATACAGCCTGTCTTAGGCTTTTACTGCTATGCTAAAACACCATGGCCAAGACAGCTCACAAAAGGAAGCATTCTCTGGGCTTACGGTTTCTGAGGGTTAGGGCCCATGAGGGCAGAGCAAAGGCATGACGCTAGGATGAGAACTCACATCCTAAAGCTGCAAGCAGAAGGCAGGCACACTCAAGATGATGGGAGGCCTTGGAAGCCTCAGAGCCCACCTCTGTGACACACCTCATCCAGCAGGGCCACATCCCCTAACTCTTCCCAATCAGTTCCACCGATGGGGACCAGGCATTCAAACGTGAGCCTCTGGGGCCATTCTCATTCAAACCACCACATAATCTCTTTGCGGATCTTTCAACTTTTCTGTTTTGTTTTTATTTTAATTTCTAATATATATTATTTATATAAATCAATAGGATTGTGATATTTCTATACTTTCATGTATCATGATTTGATGGTCATTGATTTCCTATCCTATCTCAATTCTTCCTGTTGAATAGTTCTTACTATCTTGTAGCTTTTTTTTTTAACTTTCAGGTCATCTTTTTTCACTATTCCCACGTATTACAAAAATACTGCTTTTTCACTTGTGTCTGGCTCATTTTACTTAGCAAGATAACTTCTAGCTCCACCCAGTTTACTGCAAATGAAGATTTCATTCTTCTTTATTTCTGAATAATATTCTACTGTGCATGTTGGCCAATGTTCTTTATCCCTTTGCCTTGTGACAGGTGTCTAACTTGTTTCATATTTTGTATATTCTCTCAACAAACAAAGGTGTGCAGGTGCCACCTGGACTTCAGTTTGTATCCATACCTCTGAGTGGTATTGCTGCTAGTTCTTCCATATTTCCATCATTCTGTCCCCTCCGTCGTCTAGTGTTTCCTCCAAGAAACCTACTTTCACTCCAGTTAGTTTCTCTCTGTGTGTTACTTGGTCCATCTCTCGTGCTTGTTTTACTATTCTCTATTTGTCCTGGATTTTCAAAGATCTAACTCTGGAGGAGTGTAATTTATTTTTGCTGTTCTAAGTGCTTCCTGTACCTTAAAAAGTCTACATTTTTACCAACATTTGGATGCCTTGGGGTATTATTTCATTGACTAGACCTTCTGGATCCTCAACCTGTAGCCCCTCTCCCCTGGGGATGCTGATTAGACAGATATTTGGTCATTTGGTGATGTCTTGGAGATCTTGTGTTTTGTTTTTTGTTCTAGAATGTAGTATTTCAAAGTCTGATACTCTTTCTTTTAACTGATCTGTCTGTTGAGGCTATTATGCTTGATTTACAGAGCTTCTAATTTTAAAAGTTTCTCTTGAATTCTGTTTCAAAATTGCGAGTTTTTACTACATCTTTCATTTATATTTTGAATTATCTTCCTTAATTCATTTGACTATCTGTATTCACTAGCCTCTTTTAAAATCATTCCATTGAATTCTTCATCTGGCATATCACACACTTCGATATCTTTGGAACCTGTTACTAGTTATTCACTTTAAGGAGTTAAGGAGTGCACTGTCTCATATTTTCATTTTTCTTGTGTTTGTTCAGTGCAGCTTTTACTTTTACCCAGCAGTAACTTCCAGTCTCCTACATGCTAGCCTGGAAAACATAAGTTGAACCTTGTTTCTTCTTACTGACGAGTAGAAGTTTATATGTATTCTTGATTGTTGTCATGATGATTTGCCTTAGAGAACTGGGGTACTGCTGTCTTGCAACACAGATATTTGTATTAATGGTTCTATGATTTTGTGTGATTGTTTACATCCCTGTAACTTTTAGTTGGACTTGGCTAGAAGTCTCCTTCCATTACTGTTTGCTCCCTTTTCCTCCTGGGCAACCTAAATGTAAGGGCATCCCCAAATAACAACTCAACAGCATTGGCAAGGGCAATTTCTTCCTTAGTTAATCTCAAAGCCGCTGGGAATGGTGGGGGTCTCTACAAACACTGTGGCCAGCACATTGTTGATATGCAAGAGGCAAGATGGAAGTCTGGTTCAACAAGACTCAGTAGTCAGTGTTGGTTCAAACTTCAAAAATCTGACCCTGGCTAGTTTATTTTAGGCAAACTGAAACACAGCAAATTTGGAATATAATTTCCTGGTGATAATGAACTCAATTCCCTGTTCATAAAAAGCTTAAGACATGACTACATTGAAGCTGTTGTAAAGTACAAGTGCCATCTTCCATATTCCAGGATAGTTTCTGTAGGTTAACTAAGAAAGCAGACAATGCTCATGATACGGGTGTGGGGGAAGAGAGTGCTATAGATTGACTGAGATAGACAGTCTCAAGACAAGGGTCCGAGGGAGCCAGTGTGGGCTAGCCATAGAGATAGCGCACAGGGCACCATGCTATTCACCATTTCCATTCCTAGCTTTTTGGGAGAAAAATAGGTTATATATCTGCTTCTTTGAAGAGTCAATACTGCATGTTTAACATTCCTGGTTTTCCTTGTGTTTATCTATGAACCCGAGGACCTACATGTTTGCTTCAGCCATTGTGGGACATCTGAAATAACTGTCTTCCATTTTGTTTCAGGGCATGGTGCTCAGTGGTACAACATCGCTACAAAAATAAATGCCGATGATGACTTAACTTTGGCTCATATAATAGGAATGTTTTTATTTACTGCTTTTCTGTATGGCATTGTGGCCTGGTACATAGATGCTGTCTTTCCAGGGAAGTATGGTATACCTAAGCCCTGGAACTTTTTCCTGCAGGTGAGTGCACCTTCACACACGTTGTTTAGAACCCCTAGTCCTTCTGTAGCTAGTTTGCAAAGAATAAGCAGGATTAAGTTAACAGTCTCTTCCTGGGGGCTGTGGTCTAGATCTCCTGTTCCAGCAACAAACAACTGAGAGGAACAAGTTAAAGATTGATTCAGGCTTCAGTCTGCAGTCCCATAGCCATGTCGCTTTGAGATGAGGAGAGGCAGAGCCTGACAGAACAAAGCTGCTCATCTCAGAGGTCAAGAAACAGAGCCGGGATGTCTTTGCTGGTGGGATCTTGCCCTCTTCACCTTTATTCTGTCAGTGCCTGGGTTACTGGGTGTTGCTGCGCATAGTCAAGATTGTTTCTTCGCCTTAGTTATTTTTCTCTGGAAAACCTCTCAGAGACATACTCAGAAATGTGTTTTACTGAGTACCTTGGCAAATCTCAAGGTAATTAAGTAGACAATGAAGATTAGCCACCACAATTCCTCATTCTTGCTGCACTATAACTCTGTTGTTTGCCATATGTATTTATGGAATGAAATTATTTTCTGCAAAGAAATCCCGTCTGAATGGATACATGGTAATATCTGTAGACCCTAGTTAGGAGAGGACAAATTGTACCCATGTCTATTTTTAAATTTTTATTGATATAAATAAAGCCTGCATATTTATGGACAGTGGTATATAATTTTAATATACACATATGATGGATATTTGATTAAATCAGGTTAATTGCCATTTGCATTATCATTTCTTTGTTTTGAAAAACTTTGAATTCCTCTCTTTTAGTCCTGTAGAAGATACATTAATAGATTACTGTAAATTATAGTCACCCTACCATGCTCTAGAACAGTAGGTCATATTCCCTCTAAGTTCATTTTTCCCATTTTCTCCCTCCATTGCCTAGCCTGTAGTGACTCATTTCTAAGAAATCAGCATTTTTTAGCTTCCACAAATGCATGGGAACATCATATATATGACATCTCATATATATATATATCTATCGATCTATATATATATTAATACATATGTCTTCCTGTATATGGGTTATTTTGTTTAACGTTATTTCCTTCAGATACACATGTCATGTAGTAAGATCAGCGGGCTGCATTCCTGCCGCCCCAGCTCCCCATCGCCTGGCTAGCTTATGCCCCGAAATAATTACACAGAAATAGTATTCTTTTAAACACTGCCTGGCCCATTGGTTATAACCTCTTATTGGCTATCTCTTACATATTGATCAAACCCATTTCTAATATCCGTATTGCCACTTGAGTGTGGCTTACTGGGATGAGTCTAACAGGCATCCATCTCGGAGAGGAGAGTCATGGCGACTGACTGACTCGGCTTCTTTCTCCTGGCATCCTGTTCTGTCTACTCCGCCTACCTCATTTTCTGTCCTATCAGGGCCAAGGCAGTTTCTTTATTAACCAATGAAAGTAACACCTAGACCCTCCTCCATCAATGTCAAGGTAAGCAAATGGCACAGTCTTCTTTTATGATCAAACCATATTTCATTTGCATGAGTATGCCCTATTTTCTATGTCATTCATCCATCAAATCTGCGTCTTGGCAACTGAGAATGATGTTGCGGTAAACATTGTGTGTCCGCCCAGCCACGGAGTTGCTGTTTGTATCTTTGTTCTTATGATGAACTTCTGTGCCGTTTTACTTAATGGATGTACTAATTTAGATTCCCACTAGCAGTGCGTGAGCATCCTTTCCACATTCAGGCTGCGTTTGTGTGTTTGTGTTTATGCTAATAGTCATGTGACTGTGTGTGATGAAATATCCTTGCGATTTTGATCTGTCCTCCTGTAGTGATTTTGAGTAATTTTTACTTGCTGGCCCTTTGTATGTCTTTTGAGAAATACCTATTCATATAATTTGCCATTTTGAGATTGCATGGCATTTGTTTTTCTCAATATTGAGAGGTTTCAGTTGCCCCTATCTTCTGAAAACACTGCTTTTGGACAACTGGTTTAAAGATACTTTCTCCCATTTCACAGGTATGCTTTGCTGTGTTGGCCGTCACACCTGCTTGCAGATGACTCTTGGCTCAGCGTGATTCCATTGGGCTGATTTTGCTTTTGTTGTTGTGCTGTGGGAATCTTATTATAAAAAAAAAGTATCGCCTATCCTGATGTCTTAAAGCATCACCCCATTTTTCTTCTAGTAGTTTTAGGTGTTTGATCTCATATGTGCTGAAAGATTGGTATCTGACCTCTTTCTGTACACAGATATCCAGTTTTCTCAACAACATTTACTGAAGAGACTTTTAAAATTCAATACATTTTTAATATTTGATACCTTTGTCAAAAACTAACTTCCTATACATATATGGGATTATATTTGGATTCTATGTTGTGTTCCATTCATCTGTGTATGTTGTTGTTCCAGCTTACCCTGGTTAGATACCATAACTTTACAATACAGGGAAAGACAAGAAATGTTGATTTTATGGTCAGATGTGTGTGTGTGTCCATGCACACATATAAGCACATGCATATAGTCCAGTGGAAGATGTTCAGTGTCTTCCTCTGTCACTTTCCACCTTACTCCTTTGAGACAGGGCCTCTCACTGAACCTGGAAGGAGGCTGATGACCAACAAGCCCTGTGTTTTAGTATCTTATTTAATTTCTTCAGAATTTCAAAATTTTGTTATAGAAGTCTGGTATTTGATTAAATTTACCACAGGCACTTTTTGTAGCTATTGTTATTATTGTTGTGATTATTTTCTTGATTTCTATTTATTACAATTAGTTTGTTTTTAGTATCTTTAAAAGTCTCTTCGTTTCTGTGGGTTAACTGGTGAAGCTCATTAGATTTTTTCAGTTATTGCCTGCAAACTGAAACCATCTGACTCCTCCTCCCCTATTTGGGTGACCTTTATTTATTTCTCTAACTTAATTGCATGGCTAAAACTTCCACTACTGTACTAAATAAGAATGGTAAAAATATGAACACCCTTGTTCCAGATGTTAGAGGAAACACTTTCAATCTTCTCCAATTTGAGATGATGTTGGCTGTGGACTTATAATAGTATTTAATGTGTTGAGTAAATTCTTACCACACTTTATTTTTTTGAGCATTTTTATAATGAAGATATTCTGATTTTTGCCAAACACATTTTCTGTCTCTGTTGGGATGATGCTGTATTTTATTTTTATTTTTTTGCACTATACAATTTTCTCTACTCCTGTCCCTTCCACCACATTCTCCTTCTACCCTCTCCTGTGACCCCCACACTCCCAATTTATTCAAGAGATCTTGTTGTTTTCTCCTTCCTTTGTCCATCCATGTATGTCTTTCATAGGGCCCTCTTTGTTGTCTAGGTTCTCTGAGGTTGTGAATTGTAGGTTGTTTTTTTCTTTGCTTTATGTCTAAAAGCCACTTGTGAGCGAGTACATATTATATTTGTCTCTCTGGGTCTGAGTTACCTCACTTCAGATGTTTTTTCTCTAGATCCATCCATTTGCCTGCAAATTTCAATATGTCAATTTTTTTACCACTTTATAGTACTCCATTGTGTAAATGTACTGACTTTTCTTTATCCATTCTTTGATTGAAGGCCATCTACATTGTTTCCAGGTTCTGGTTATTATAACACTAATTTGAACATAGTTGTGTAAATGTCCATGTGGTATGACTGAGCATCCTTTGGGTATATACCCAAAAGTGATATTGCCATGTCTTGAGGTAGATTGTTTCCTAATTTTCTGAGAAATTACCATACTGATTTCCAAAGGAACTGTATAAGTTTGCACTCCCACCAGCAATGAAGGAGTATTTTCTTTACTCCACATCCTCTTCATCAGTGTTTTGATCTTGGCCATTCTTACAGGTGTAAGATGGAATCTCAGAGTTGTTTTGATTTGCATTTCTCTAATGCCTAAGGATGTTGAACATTTCCTTAAGTGTCTTTCAATCATTTTAGATTCCTCTGTTGAGAGTTATATGTTTAGGTCTGTACTCCATTTTTTATTGGATTATTTGTTCTTTTGATAACCAATTTCTTGAGCTCTTTGTATATTTTGGAGACCAGTCCTCTGTCTGATGTGGGGTTGGTGAAGATCTTTTCCCATTCTATAGACTGCTGTTTTATCTTGTTGACCATATTCTTGGTTTTATAGAAGCTTTTCAGTTTCAGGAGGTCGCATTTATTAATTGTTTCTCTCAGAGTCTGTGCTACTGGGGTTCTATTTAGGAAGTGGTCTCCTGTGCCAGTGCATTCAAGTGTACTTCCCACTTTCCCTTTTCTGAGGTTCACCGTGCAGTGTGGTTAGTTTTATGTTGAGATCTTTGATCTGTTTGGACTTGAGTTTTGTGCATGGCAATAGATATGGATCTATTTGCATTTTTCCACATGTTGGCATTCAGTTATGCCAAGACCATTTGTTGAAGATGTTTTCTTTTTTCCATTTTGTATTTTTAGCTTCTTTGCCAAAAATCAGGTGTTCGTAGGTGTGTGGATTGATATCTGTGTCTTCGATTCAATTCCATTGCTCCTTCTGTCTGTTTTTACGCCAATACCAGGCTGTTTTCATTACTGTAGCTCTATAGTAGAGTTTGAAGTCAGGGCTGGTGATATCTCCAACCATACAGGATTGTTTTGGCAATCCTGGTTTTTTTTTTCCCCATATGAAGTTGAGTATTGTTCTTTTGAGCTCTGTGCAGAATTTTCTTGGGCATTGCATTGAATCTATAGATTGCTTTTGCTAAGATTGCCATTTTTACTATGTTAATTCTACCTACCCAAGAGCATGGGAAATCTTTTTATTTTCTGTTGTCTTCTTCAATTTCTTTCTTCAAAGATTTAAATCTCTTGTCATACAGGTCTTTCATTTGTTTAGTTAGAGTTACCCAGAGATATTTTATATTATTTGTGACTATCATGAAGGGTGATCAGAGATGCTATATGTTTTAAGGATCAAAACTTAATAACTTTGTTAAATATATAATTAAGTGGAGCAGGCTTTCCTCTATAAATATTTAAATTGTAAGGAAGACAGGGACTACACAGTACAGTATGTTGTCCTTCTTGGTTTTGAACTGAGACACCATGGACTTGCCTTTCATTGTTTGTATAACTATAGCATGAGTCCTAATTGTTCTTAATAATAAAAACTTAGAGTCAGATATTAGAGGTGAAATCTGAAAGATCAGAGAAGCAAAGTGGCCAACCACTAGAGAGTTCTTATCTCTACCAGTACTCAGACCAAAAGGGCGGTCCTGTCTTCAGACTGACTGCTGCTCAGACTGCACCGAGCTTATGTCTCCTCCCACCTTATATTCCTCTCTCCACTGAGTCATACACTCCTGTCTCCACCTCCCTAGTGCTGGGATTACCTTTGTGTGAGCTGTTTCTCTTTTAACCCGGATCAATTTCGTGTAGCCCAGGGTGGCCTTGAACTAACAAAGGTCCAACTGTCCCCCACATCCTGAGATTAAAGGTGTGAGCCACCACTGCCTGGCCTCTAGTGGCTTAACTCTGCACTTTGATCTCCAGGCAAGCTTTAATTGTTAAAACACAAACAAAATATCACCACATATAACATCAGTAAAACGGACAGTTTAGGGGGAAAATCAAAGTGGTTTAATATTTATGAAAATTATTTTATCCATACAGACTCACTGAGAAGTTGTAGGATATCCACAATGAATAGATCAACCGTGCTAGAAAGATCTGACTCAGAGTGAGGCAGCGCTGCTCACTAGGCACTTCTGAGGCAACTTCGTTGACTTTCTTTTGAAAAGCTGAGCTTTAAGCACAATATGTGTTCTGTGGTTGTATCTAGAAATTCATAGTACAGACAGACAATTTGCTTCACATCATAAAGTCAGTTATTGTAACTCTCTTCAAAACTAGAGTGAAATGAGCCCGAGAACTTTGAAATCTTTAGAGCACTTAACTTTCCAATGTTATTATTATTACTCCATTGTATTCCAATATTATTATTTTGGCTGTTGTTATTTTAGAAAACCTACTGGTTTGGAGAACCATCCTCAAGCAAGGAAGAGAGCCAAGTCACTGACCTACCCACAAATGATTTTGTTGAGCCTGAACCTGTTGGCTTAGTGGCTGGCATCCAGATTCAACATTTGTACAAGGTATTTATTCAACAGGTTTTTGTTTCTTGATAGGAGATTATCTATGAAGATTAAATGTTTGACAAAGCCATAACTCTACAACCATGCCAATTAAGAGTCTTTTAGTAAGATAAACTTTAAGTGTATAGAAGAGAATCACGCGTCTGTGTGCTTGCCTGGGCATCGCGGCACTGGTTTGTCATCCCAGCCCTTTGTGGAGGGGGAGGCTGGAGCAGAGAAATAGTGAATTTAACTACCTTGGATTTCATAATGAAAGTCTGTCTCTAAACATACTGTTATTTCTCTCCTCCATATAGCTAATAACGGTATCCTCCAAGATCCTCCATGGTGGAGTCAAGATGCAGCATTTATCAGATAGTTGAAAATTATGCCCTGATTTGTTTTACAAGTTAGAATTTATACTGTTTGCACTATTTTATGTCAAAATATTGGCAAAAAAGAATTGTTAGGCTTTTGTTCATTTCTGATTCTGAAAGAGTGTATTTTTTTTTTTCCAGGAAACTCATACCTGCTGACATTCCCTTGCCTCCCAAAGAACTATTCCAACTTAATTTGGATGTCTAATTTCATAATTTGTGGCAATTGAATTTTTTTCAGAGTTTCTGCTATTTGCCGGGTTAAGGGCCAGTGGAGGACTGGTCATGTGGCTCCTTTCCCCCACTGAGCTGCCCCCACCTTCTGCTTTGATGACATTAGCACAGGTGTCAAGCAGCCTTTCCGCTGGTTCTCTTTGGGTATTTACTAACATCATTTAGTAGCCATTTTCCTACTATGGTAGTGCTATAGCAAAGGAGGTACATTGTGCTCTTTCTGTTGTCTCTCTTCTCTTCAGCTTTCTTTGCCTGCAGAATTGCCCCAGCATGCTCCTTGATTGTTTGAGTGGTTCATTCAGAATCATGCTGACACACAGCTCTGCTGTTACGGTAGTTCATTTTCCCAGCTCTCTCCTCGAGCTTGCATACGGAGTGTCATGAGTGTTCAGCTGATCCACGGCCCTTTTCTGTAGCATTGATTGTTTACTCAAGACATTCAACAATTGGCTTCTGAGAATTCATTGTTTTCTAGAAGATGATTGGTGTTAGGGATACAGAAATGAGCACATCAGATAACTAGACATCTGTCAAATCAACAAGGAACAGATTATTTACAATACTCACGGATGATAAGCCTTCTAAGCTGAATTTAGAAGGTCTGTGTATTTTCCTCCTCTGAAGCCATGTGCTTATTATAACCATGGACTGAGCACCCCCCCCACACACACACAAAAGAAGTCTACTAGAATAATGAGATGCATATAAAGGTTTTTTGGGAGGGTGGGAAGAGAGGGAATCATAGCTGCTGGTATGAGAGATTCAAAGCTTGGAGGATCTAGACAGATGGCCAGTCATTTAGTGATCTGTATGGCTGCCTATGAGGTGCTATGGCTCTAAAAGGAAGCATGAAATCTCTATTCTTGGGGTACTCTAAAAACAAAGTCAATTTTGGAGCTTGGAAATAAAATAGACTAAAGAAATAATTCCAAACCCTAAGACAAAAGAAACTGAAGAAATTTAGATCTGCATGACAGTCTATAAAGAAGCAAGAGGGCCGGCTCGAGCAGAAATGAGCTGGAGGTGAACTAACAAAACCCCCAAATCTGTCTTTGCTCTGTTGGGTCCCAGATCAGATGGAAGTGACACCTCTTCTCTGTGTATTTAATCAAGTATAGGGTTGCTCTCCGTTGGACAATAACAGCTATCACATAGCCATGCTTTTCTCCTACCAAGTCTATTGAACAACTGCAAACGTGTTAGACATGTGAAGAAGCATGAAGTAGTGACCATAACTAACAGTGAACATCTACAGCAGAAGAGCTTTAACAGGAACATGCTAGAGATGTTAGGATTAGTAGGCACAGATTTAAAAATAATAATCAGTATATTAAAGAAAATAATTTTAAAATAATAAAAATAGAAAAATAGTAAGACTATGAACATAGAAACAGACTAGTCAGTGAATATATAAACAACTGAAGCCCATAATTTATTTATATGACCCCATAAGCATACTGTGTTCAGCAAATTCAGAAAGCAAGTACATATGGAATGCTTTCAAAAGATGCCATAAGCCCATCATGATGCAATCTCACCATAAACTAAACTCATAGTGTTGTTCTCACCAGAGTGGGGAAAACAGTAAAAGATGAATAATTAGAAAGCCCAAAATGTCAAAGAAAAGAATATAATTCTTATTGTCCTTGTTTGTCTCCCAGAAGATCCCGTATTTTGGACTTAGGACTTGGAGAAATTAAGTTGTAATGGACCTGGAAGCCTCCTCTCTCAGGACTAGGTCTCATCCTATCAGAAACTGCTGTGAAGCTGTCTAGAAAGAAAAGCAATAATAAGTCCTACCCAGCTTAGAGCCTGTGAGCCGTGGGTGGCCAGCCCCCATCTGCGTAACTACAGTGCACCCTAGTAATACCTTATACGTGGTACTCGGGGGACATTGTGGAAAAGCCGGAGGGAAAATTGTAAAAAACCAGAGGACGAATGTCTGCTGTGAGGTAGTATCTTCTAGACATCAAGGGGAAGTTTCATCTTGGACTAGCAGCACTATGGGAGGAAGGGAGATGACTTAGGAGGGAGGGAGAATATGAATGTACTTCAGTGTGTCTACAGAACAGAGAGGTCAGATGAAAGATTTTTAGATAGGGCTTTAAGGACCTTGGTTCAGGGCAGGAGCTAATGTCTAGGTGTTTTTAGCAAGAGTTCATGTCTCAGTGTTTGGTGAAAACCTTAAATAGCACCGTGAGTGCCTGGAATTGCTGAAGGTCGGGGTCAGCTTCACGCCTGCAGCAGAAAGTCTGCAGTTCTGTGTGTCACACAGCACCAAGGCAGGCTGGAGTTCAAGTTAGGATGGAGAGAGAAAGCAGAAACTGTGGGGGCCGCAGATGGCTTTAAAGCTGTGAGTGACCCAAAGCCCACCCAGTTATCCCCTCTCAATGGGCTGATGGCACACATTGGATTTTTATTTTTGTTTAAGACACCACTTAAAAGAAAATGGCAGTTCACAAATTCAGGGGAAAAAGTTTAACTTAAGGCAACCAAAGTGACTTAAATGGAGAGCAGAGTGGATGTTCACCGAGGTGACAAGCGGTCCACGTGCAGTTTGCTCTCTTATCCCAAGCCCTGCTTCTTTCAGGCGCTGGTGGAGAACGGTGTGTCCAATTAGTCCTCGCAAGTTCCTGTCCACTGTTAGACATACGGTTTGCACGGTGCCTGCTCCCATGTGCCAGCTGCTAAAATGCCTTTCTTCCTTGTTAAGAATCTGACATATTTACAGGAGCGTGGCTCTAAGCTCTACTTGTACCATTGTATATATGCACACGTTTTCCCGTTCTCCGATAACAGTTTTCTGTCATGGGGGAAGGTCCTGTGTATGGCGTCTTCACAGCTACCCTCAGAGCGCATGCGACACCAGTTCTCAGTAAACGGTTCCCACCCATTACTAACTGATGACTTCTTAGTGTGACAGAGATGTCTGAGGCCCGTCAGCCCCACATTTTGGAATGTGTAGCTAGGCAAATAGTTGTGTAGCTCATGCAGATAAGATCATAGGCGACAGTGTTCTCTTTAGGTGCAACAAGTAGAGTCTGGAGTGGCTACAAGCTGGTAAAATGCAGTGGGACTTTCAGCAGATCATTCTGAAAACATTGGAGAAGGACTGACTGGGGCTGACTGGGGCTGACTGGGGCTGACTGGGGCTGATTGAGGCTGGATGGGGTTCTATCAGCTTTAAGACTGGAACAGAGCAACAACGGGAGACTTGTAAGCATTGTTTGTTAATTGAATCTCATTTTGTTTTTTTCCTCCAACCTTGAGATTAATGGCACTTTTCTCCAACTCTGAATAATTACTGAGTCCTGGTTTACAGGTGACAGTAATCAAATTAGTCCTTGTTTTCCCTTTACAGAAATTCACATTAAAAGGTAGTACCGTGATGGCAGTACAAGACTTATCTTTGAACCTGTACGAGGGGCAGATCACCGTTCTTCTGGGACATAATGGGGCAGGAAAGACCACCACCTTATCGATCCTCACAGGTGTGTATCTGGGGTCGCACTGGGGACAAGCTCAGTGGACCAAGGGTCAAGTGTGAGGATTCTGCTGACATTTCTGAAGCCAACATCACTGTAGTGCAGCTAGTTAATCCACTCAGTTTGTAAGGTGCAATCATACAGTCGGGTCAGCGCTTATTCCTGTGTCTCGGACACATCCAGCTCCCTATCTTTTGAGTGCCATTCTGAATGATCGTCCCAAGTCCCCACGTTTTTGCCTCACTTCCTGTTGCCCTCTCCACACTGCAGGAAACCACTGCTGTTTTCCTGGCCTGCGTGACTCTCACTGTGAATGCACACTATGAATACATACTAATTTTCTGAGAATATTTCAAACACAGCTAAATTGAAGTTTTTGAATTCGAATGTCCCTATATGTGTCACCCCTATCCTACCATTGCAACATTTTTACTTTACTTTTATGTACCTATTAACCCATTTAAAATACTTCAAAGTTAATTTTAGACATTAAATATTCTTTTTATTATTTAACTTAGAAATTTTCTTTTGATAAATATATTTTGTAATGTTTAAAATTTATTTGCTGAATTTTGACATATGTACACATCTGTGTAGTCCAACAGATGTATCTTAAGATGCATAGAAAATTCTCTAATTTCTCAAATAATCTGCTTAAAAATAAACTCCATTCTTATTTATTTTGTGTGTCTGGGGTCTGGGGAGAGGCAATTTGTGCCACAGCACACACATAGAGATCAGAGGACAACCCTAGCATCTCTCTCTCCTCCCCATGGGGCTGAGAATTAAACTTGGGCTGGCAGGTGTAGCAACAAGTGCCTTTACCCAGTGAACCATCCCACCAGCCTAAGAATTCCACTTTTAATTCATTTCTACCAATACATGTCATATGAACCAATAACTATGTTTATTCCATAAATATAGATTATTAATATGCAAAGTATTGGGATAGAAACCCAAAGTGAATGGATAGGCCTAAAGTCCATACCTACAGGGGTTTTATATTGGATGGGAATTCTGATCTGTTACGAACTGGGGGACTTCAGCTCCAGGTTCTTTTCAAGTAATATCTATGAGGACTCTGTGCCCTTTTCCCCAGAGAGCGATGAGTGACCAGACCAAGCAAGAGAATTGTTTTTATAATGATTCTTTACTAGCAACTTTAATATCCAATGCATCAATGGGGATTACAATCTTAATAGGCATGGGGGATTGATAATGGGCAACACACAGGCACTTCAGTATCACAATTATTAATCCTACTAATCCTAATACATAAGACCAATTCATAACCTTAATCTAACTTATCACTTATCCATAAAACACTCCTTAACCATAATACAACTTATCCATTACTTATCTATAAAACACTTCTTAACCTTAATTTATCCATTAACATTTCCTAATCTTATCAATTATCCGTAAGATATCTCTTAACATGTCACACACTAAACATATGTATTAACACGTCTATGCTCTTCTCTTAACCTCTCATACACGCATGAAATAGCATCATACGACCTGGTATTCCCTGGATTAAAAAGGGCTTTTTGAATTTCTTCAGGCTGGACACCTGACTGCACTGGGGGCTGGGTAGCAAGGATTGACTCTTGACCCCGTAGTCTGCGCTCAGGAGATAAGGTTCCGATGTCCTGTTCCAGGCTGGTATCTGGTGCTGGATCAGTCCTTGACCATGTAGTCTATGGCCTGGTGCTAGTCTATCTCAGAATGTAGGGCCTTTGGACTCGGCTTTTCGGGTGACCGAGTCTCGGGAGACAAGGCTTTTAGTTCTCTACTCTCGAGATAGCAAAGTGTTCTGTCTGCTTTTGAGTCCGAAGACGAAGCTTTGCTCTTGGGATGGCAAAGCATTCTGAAAGGCAGAGTATCTTGTCTGTTCTCGGGAGACAGACCTTCAATGTCCACTCTCAGGGAATGAGGCTTTGCATTCAGGATGCAAGGCGTTAAATGTCTGTTTTCGGGAGACAGAGCATTAAATGTTTATGCAAGGCGTTTAATATTGCTGCTTTTCAGGAGGCAGGCTTGGAGGATCTATCTTTCCACGGAGGCCTGATGCCAAAGCCATTGTGAGAAGTGAGATAACTGTCCTGTTTCTGCCCTCTCTTTTATGTCAGTTCAAAATTGGCCCTCGTTTGATCCTTCCGATAACCAGATGTCCTAGGTTATCAGTATCAACTGGCCACAGAAGGGTGGGGGTCCCTCTTGTGTGGCAAGATTATTTCGTTACCACGGTTGCTGGGTGCAGCCCCCCCCCATATGGCAGGGTCAGATGGGTGTGGCAACCTTCAAGCGGGCAAATGTTCTCTTAATATTTCACCATAGTAATTTTCCACACCACACACAAGAAAAAAATGCTTTTACATTACACCAAGTTGCATTTATTCTTATTCTGTAAATTTCCTGTTCTATCTACAGTACATATTCCCCTTTATTTATTCATTCAGAGGAATCTGTTTCAATGCTCATTACAGATGTGTAGACAGGAGTTTTATAATGTGGCTTGAGAAACAGATAGATCTCAAAGGAAGGGTTCTACCCTGGCAATCTTGACTAATTCCTGCTTAGGGAAGTGGTTTGGTGGGAATGAAATCTGAGTCTGGGGAAAGATGGCAAAAACTATAAACAGAAAGAGTGAGGTGCATTAAAAGGACAAACAGAGCCTGGGAACAAGAGCATGAGGCTGCCACGTGACCAGAGAAGAGGAAAAGAATGAGGACTGGTAGAAAGAACAGGCCAGGCCTGAAATCTCTAGCGCATGCCAGGTGGGTTGGGCTTCTGTGACAGTGACTGAGGCAGACTGAATGTTGTCGAATCTCCCCTGAACCTCAGTTGGAAAACCTCTGCTTAAGGGCACTCTTTCTGAACTAGTATCACATGGCTGTGAAGGAGTCACTGTCATGCTTGACAGCAGGGTCGGACTGCCTGCCACTCACAGAACACACTCATGTATTACATGCGCATGACAAGTGTGCACAAAGATTTGTCTTTGTCCCAGAACCTGTCCTTGTTGCTTTATAAGGCAGAGATTTTCAAATGTCCTTAAGGACAATCCAGTGGCTAGTGCCTTGTGAGGGCGAGGCAGAGTGGAAGGGGACGCACAAGAGAGCTGGTGGTGCAACAGTGGCGGCGGAAGAGGAGCCAATACCGCCACAAGCCACTGCAGCATTGTTAAACCAAGGGGTCAGTGTGGTGGAATATTATTTTAAGATTTGTTACATTCATTTATGCTGTGGAATATGTGTTTAATAATGCAAAGATGCATTGCATTCTTTCATGTTGCACTTGTTTAGCTCTGTGAAGCTGTGTTACTTTGCCTGCCTAAAACACCTGTCTTTTAAGAGAGCTGAATGGCCGATAGCTAGGCTGCAGAGAGAAATGTGTGGGACTACCAGGCATAGAGAATAAATAGAAAAGAAGGAGAGGAGGAAGAAGTGAGAGAAGGAAAAGGAGAGGAAGACACCAGAGGCTGCCACCCAGCCACCCAGCCAGCCATGGAGTAAGAAGTAAAGAAAGTGAAATAGTGTGGAGAAAGGTAGAAACCCAGAGGCATAAAGAAGGTGGGAGAGTTTAATATAAGAAAAGCTAGGAAGAAACAAATCAAGCTATGCCTGGGCATTTATAAATAAGAGTAAAACTTCATATGTTTATTTGGGAGCTTGGTGATGGGTCCCCAAAGAGTAAAATAAAAAACAACAACAGACCAGTTTCTTCTTGAGCTTCTATTGGAGGCATGCTTTTCTAAAGATCTTTATGGCCTAGCGTCATTGACTTTAGGCTTCTATACCTAAATAAATCTGGCTTTAGCCACCAAGTTTGTGATAATTTGTTACACCAGTCATGAAGCAAATACACTTGTTGACTCTGGATGCAAGAGGCACCTCTTTGTGCCCATATCCTCACAAATTCCCTTAACTGGTCATGCCTAACTGCCTCTCCTCACACTTTAGATATTTCTACTCATCTATGAAAGCCCAGCTCCAAGGTGGTCTCCACATCTCCTCACTGGTAACTGTTAACTCTAGCCTGTTTGGTAACCAGTGTGCCCCAGTGACTCGAATGATCCCTCACAGAATGCTCAGCAGACGCATGCAGGGCTTATTAACCACAGATCACCTTTGTTCATTCCTTTACTTCCATCATTAGATCCAAATTACTTGAGCCAAGGATCACAAATTGTTAACTTCTCTAAATGGTGGTATTTTTTTTTTTTAGGTAAGTTTGGCAGAAGTCACCATTTCAAGCATACAGTTAAGTGGCTTTGGTACATTCATACTCTTGTGTAGCAGTTGCCCTAAAGAAAGCCTCTAACTCTCAGCCGTCACTTTCTGATTAATGTCCCATCTTTCCAGCCACTGACTGTCACCAGTTTGATTTCAGCACCCGTGGACTTGACTAATATGTAGCCATTGTGTGAGGATTTGAATGACTGTCACATGACCTTTCCTTTTACTTCAAAGGAGACCTTTGCAGATTTCGTGCAGGGAAGGTTATTATTTTCAGACTCACGCTGTACTGGTTATGTGGAGATAACTTTGAAGGAGAGTCTGGATGGATATAGCCAAGGAAAAGAAGCAACTTAGAGTTATATCAGTCAATGAATAGATAAAGAAAATATGATACAAAAGGAATACTATTTAGCCATAAAAAGAATGGAAGCTCTGTCTTTTGTGACAATGTAGACAGAAATGGAAAAATCAAATGAAACACAGAAAGACAAGACAAAAACTGTACAGTTAAATTTGCATATAGAATAAAAATTGTTACCGTAGAAGTTGAGAGTAGAATTGTGATCACGTGAGTGTGGAGGAGAATGGGAAGGGATGGATGGACACATTGGATTAATGGTTACTGAATTAAGAATAAGAAGTCCTAGTGTGTTATTGTGCAGAAAGAAAGCACCTGTATTGATCGCAGTAGTTCCCATATGTTAAAAAGTCTGGGGGAGAGGATTCTGAAAGCTTCCAGCATTATATAATGCATTCATTCAT